GAAGAAGACCTGGACAAAGCAGGAAGCCGTGACCATAGGATAATGGAAGAGAGGGAGGTTGTGTATTTTGAAGAGCTGAGAGAACGTGGCTTTAACTCATTGAAAGTAGAAGGGATCTACCCATGTGGTTAACAGATATCCTTAACGCTACATAGACTGTACAAAGTGTAAGAATTATACAGAAGACCTGGACTACCCTGGGTGATGGCAGATCCTTATTACTGAATATCAGCCAGGGCTACGTTGTTTCTAATCCTCAAAAGACCAGAAATTTCTTACTTTGTGACTCAGAGGAAGGAGAAGGAGAAGCAGCAGGCTTGTAGTTAGCTTAGGATTCCTCCAGAGCCAGAAGGCAGGTGCTGGAGTTTTCAGAGCAGGGTGTTTGTTACACTACAGATGGCTTTGGTGACACCTGGGATGTGGAGGGGTGCTCTGCCCGGGGAGGTTGCCCCAATGAAAGCAGGGAGGTGAAGAGGGCCTTGTGGAGGAACTGCTGGGGCACCACCAGGACGCTGAGAAAGGAGATGGGTCCTGACAGAACAAGGGAACCAGGAAAGTGAGGGGTGATTCACACTTGTGCAGTTTCCTTTGGAAAAGCTACTCAGCAGGGTGGGAGATGGGATCAAGAGAAGAGGGGGAGAGCAGGGCAGTCAATAACGGAGTCAAAACATGTGTGGGACGGGTTGGGGATGAGGGCCCAGGGTTCATTATTCATTGCAGCTGTTGGCTCACAGCTGCAGCAATTAGGAGGGAGAACTTGATTTTGTGTGGAAGTGTTCCTTTAAATCTCCCTCAGATGACTCCAAAGACGGTGTCAGGTCTAATTACCAAATGCAGTGGGGCTTGCATTAAATAACACTCAGTGGCTGCAGTTACCCTCGTGGCAGCCTCTCTCCCTGTGCTAAATGCCATTACTTATTGTCTCCTGCTCTACGGGGTGTGCACCACTGGCTCTTCTAAGCTGTTAGAAGTTAGATGTGTTTGGTTTTGTGATTCCTGGTCCACGTAGGTTTAATCTGTGTCCACCGCACATTAGAACCAAGCTCGAGTGTGATGCTGTGGGAAGAGTTTTCTTCTGTATTTTTGTTTCCTTGTGGGAAGTTTTGAAGATCCGTATATCCATTTCAATGCAGTTGACTGTTACTGGACACAAAAGCAAGAAAGATCTAAGAAAATCTGTCTCGGGTGTTTTCTGAGGGTTAACTGGCCGGGCTGGATTGGAGTTGCTCCCTGCAGGGTTTGCCATGTCCCTGCCCCACCTCTCTGCTCTTCACATTGAGCTGCTGGGCAGTACCAGCCCCACTGCAAGGCCTGGAAATCCATCAGGATCCCGGCAGATCCCCCACCTCGGATGGCACTGGGCTCGTGCAGCACCTGTGTAAGAGGAAAAGGGTTGTATTGATGGCCTGGGCTCTGCTGCTCCCGGCTCGTCTCTCGTCCCCCACGTGCACAGCCTGGCTGTGGGAAGGCCAAGAGCTGCCTGTTGTCCCTGGCACGTGGCATTTGGCATCTGGTCAGAGGCTTAACAGGTAAAGTGGGAGAGTAACAGCTTCAAAGGACCTGCTGGGAGTGGGGAGGAATAAAACAGCAGACTGTTCCAGAGAGGAGATGATGAGATTCAGCATCAGAAACAGCCTGAGAGCAAGGCTCTTCAGTTGCTTTACATGAGCACTCAACAGGACAATTTCCCCTTCTAAGTTTTACAAGTTAGAGTCTAAGAAAGACTAAACCTTTAAGGATGTTTTGATTAATCTCTTTTGGTTTTTTTTAAAGGAAGCTCCTGTGATTTCTGGTGCACCAGCACACTCCTTGTGGCACTTAGTAAGCAGGAACATGCTTGTTCTTGGTCAGTCTGAAAAGCTTACTACCATAGTGTTAATAGTGCTACTTTGATTCCTTAAATACTGGGAACCGCTTACATTAGTAATTTAAATTCTAGGGACAGCAACAGGCTTTTTCTGGGCAAAACACAACTGATACAGAAACAGATTTAGCAAAGCCAGTAGGTTGCCCTCCTGCCCAAGAGTGTAAGGGCTAAGAGCTTAATTGTAGTAAGGGAGGTTTTGATTAGCAAAAACCCAGTGGAATAGCTTGTAGGATCTCCATCCTACCATAATTAAATGCCTTAATAATTCTGTTTTAAGAGGAGGATCAGAAACAGTGTAGAGTGTTTCAGTTCCAGCTGGTTCTGCCATGGCAAAGCAGGAAGAATTGGGTGTTTTTGTTAAGCCACCTGTGTGCCTACTTCTTGCAATGCTGCAGTAAACCACACATGATGGGTACCAGTGCCTGAGTCACAGGGAAATTTGGGATCTTGCATTTCACTGAGCCAGCACCTTCCCTTCGTAGGCTTCCACCATTCAGCAGTACCTTTTAGTTAAAGGAGGAGAAGTTGCTTACATGCAGCAGTTCAGTGTCAATGACTGCAGGCCAAGGGCATTAAAACCACAAAGATGTTTCCTTTACAACAAGGCAAACCTCCCACTACTCTTGCTGTTTGAGGTGTCTCCTGGCTGCCCACCAGCCCCTCCCTGACATGCTCCTGGTCCTGCCCATGGCCACACAGAGGCCACCAAGCTCATGGCATGTCCTGGGCTGTAGCTGGGGCTGCGCTCAGCCAGGAGCTGCACTCATTGCCCTGCCCTGCCAGTCCTCAAAAATACCGATTTTGTAAAAAACTTCTATTAGTTTTTATAACAAAGGCACTCCAGAAAAAAACATAATTAATATTCCTATTGTGCCCTGCTTCTGCTGGGGACCCTGATGGTGTTCAGCCCAGTCTGTGGGCTGCTCTGGGAGCAGGAAAGAACAACCCTGCTCATACCTGACCCCTGCCTTGCTCTGCTCCTGGAGATTCATTTCAACTAAGCAACACCTGAATCCATTTAAACAGCAGCAGCATTAAGCTCTGCCTTCTAAATACAACCGGTGACAGTTTGTATTCTTCTAAGACTCACTGAAAATGTTAGATGTTTGACTGAATGTGACTCAATCAAACAAAGCCAAGCTTGACAGAGAACTCATCTGCCTTCACCAGGTAACCAAACTGTGCTCATGTCTAATGATGGCACTGGATGGAGGTTTGAGCTGCTGGATTTGGTCAGCAGTGAGATTTGATCACTGTAGTTAGCATTGTGTCTAAAACCATCGAGCAGTAAAATAAACACACTGGCCTGCCTGCAAAGCTCACATCTCCCAGATCTTTTCTCAAGCTGCCCAGTCCTGGGAATTTAACATGTGTTGGCAACATTATCACAATCTCAAATAATGGAAGTTAATAACACAGATGGGGGAACAGAGCTTTAGCTGGTGCAGAGATCACGAACAACCACTCCTGTGTAAAACTGTCTTTGTATGGATACAATTAAAACTGTGTAACTGAAGGTATAATAATCACTTTTTACGTATTACGATGGCTGGAGAGAGGCAAACGTACCTGTCTTTGAAAAAGGCTGAAAGGGCCATCTGAGAAACTACAGGCCAGATGGTGTTGCTTCAGTCCCTGGGAAAATCACAGAGGAAGCCCCTTCAGAGCATGTTTTTGGACACATGCAGGAGAAGATGACTGGGAACAGCCAGCAGGCATTTACTGAGGGTAAACCGTGCCTGGCTAACCTGCCTTCTACAGCAGTACAACCTTGTGGCCAAGGGAAGGAGCAGTGGATGTTCTTCACCCCAACTGTGGCAGGGTGTCAGTGCTGTCACACCACATCCTTGCAGCCAGCTGAGGATGTGGCAGCCTTCACCAGAGTGGGCACTAACACTGGCTGGATGTTGGGGCTCAGCATGGAGGGCTGGGCTGCAGCAGCTGAGGGGCATCCCATGCCCTGGGACCACCTTCTCCAGGCTGTGGAGGCAGCCATGGGATGTGCCCTCAGCAGAGCTGTGGATGCTGCTGGACCAGCCCACGCAGCTGGGACAGGGCTGCTCTCCAGAGGGACCCCCAGGCTGGGCAGGAGCCTGGTGAGTTCAGCGAGGAGAAGGGCAGGGCCCTGCCCAGCCAAGGAAGAAGTCCCTGCAGTCACGGGCTGGGAGGCTCAAATGCCCCTCAGAAAAAGGGGAGCACGAGGCAGCAGAGCCCAGGCTGTTTGAGCAGGACCACAGCACTCAGCACACCCCATCCTGACCACTGTGTGCCCTCTGGGGTTCCACTCCCCACATCCAAGGAGGACACTGCCAAATTTGAGTGAGTTCAGCAGAGGGCTGACAGCACAGTCAGGGCTGGAGCACGTGCCTGGGAGGAAATGCTGAGGGAGCAGGGCTCGTTCAGCCTGGAAAACAGGAAGGTTTTAGGGAGACCTTGCAGCAGTCCAACCACTTCCCACCAGTACCTGGAAAATTCAGACTTTTCACAGCGGTGCACAGGCAGGGAGAGACATGTAGAAGCCAAGAAGAGAGAGGGTTAAGCTTTTTGAGGGTCACAGAAATAAACAGAGGGCTGGAGCAACTCCCTACGAGGAAAGGCTCAGAGAGCTGGGGCTGTTCACCCTGGGGAACAGAAGGCTCCAAGGAGACCCTCACAGTACATAAAGGGAACCTATAAGAAGGATGGGGACAGATTTTTTGGCAGGACCTGTTACAATAGGACAAGGGGTAATGGCTTTAAACTGAAGGATGGTAGATTTAGATTAGATGCAAGGAAGTTTTTTTGCAGTGAGGGTGGGAAATACTGGCACAGGTTGCCCATAGGCAGGGTGGGTGCTCCATCCCTGGAAACATTCAAGCTCTGTGTTCTAGTTGAAGATGTCTGTGGTCATTGCAGTGTTTTCCCAAGATACCTACTGGTCCTGGATAACTCAGAAGAGGGCAGGAAAAGGACAAGAGGAGTATTATGGACTTCTGGTCACACACCAGCTTTCTCAGGGAGAAACTATGCCAGGTGTTCTCACATTCTCCTTCAGCTGTTACAGAGCAGGTATGAGAACAGAAGAGGGTTGTTCAACAGCTGCTCTGCATGAACACACCCTGCAGGGAGTTCCTGAAAAGTCAAGACACAGCAGTTAATTCCTTAAGTTGTTTATTTATCATTGAAGAAACACACAGCAGCAAGTTCTGTGTTGGCTTCAGTGTGATCAGATCCCTAATCGTTGTTACCGCACCCCAGCTTGGAAGTCAACACAGCCATTACTACAAATCACTTTTTTTTTTGGAAAGGGAAAGAATTGACCCTGAAGGCAAAGAATCGGGGGGAAATCGAACAATTTCTCCAAAACCACACATTTTAAATATGACAATATTTAAAACCCCTTGAAAGGCATGAATTATCCAGTAATGGAAAAAGCAGTTGTGATATTGGCAACAGAAAATACATAGCCCTATGCTGACCAAAACACTGAAATGGTGAAAGCTGCAAGTTGGATTGTACACTGCAGCAGTGTATACATTACTGGAAACTATGACTGCAAAATGGCCTCAGAGGCGTGATGGCTTCAAGTAACTCTACAGAAAATATCCCAGTGTAGCTAATGCTCATAATGTTTATTGTATTTAATTCAAATTTAAACAGCTTACTGAATTTAGATAGTGATAAAAGAAGTCTCAGAAACCACCTGCCCTCCAAGATACCTACGTAAAAGAGGGCTTTCCTATTTTTTTTGGCTAATTATGCAAATTAATTTAGCTCTGCTTTTTCAATAATTCCACTCTGTGAACAGAGGTGTTTTCAAATGCGTGTTCTGTGACGATAATACCCCATTCCAAACTAAGAAAGACTCCAAATAAAAAGGGCAGCCTCTTCTGGTGCGAAATGGAAGCTGTACTGAAGACAGCTGTTGGGCTTGCTTCTTTTTATTTTAGCAACAAATGACCCATGAAATAAGCATCATTTGAAATTTCAAAAACTGGCGTTCCAAATTTCCAACCTTCTGCTGTGAGTTTTGTGCATGATCAATCTATATGAGTAAGTAATTCATGCTTTCATGTTACCTCAAAAACATCGGTTAAAGAATTCCAATCGAGAATGTTTATAAGCACAAATATAATCTGGATTCCATCAGATCAAAGCTAAAACATCGGTTAAACTCTGTGATTCCCACTTAACGTCGTACAGTGGTCCACCCTTCCTCATCTGTCTCGTTCTTGGTGCGGCGCACGGGCTCCCGCTCCTTCTCTGCTTTCCAGGAGCCCTTCTCCTTGTCCCCGTCTCTCTCCCGCTCTTTGGATGCCGCTGGGGGAGCAGAAGCTGGAGCAGCAGCGGGAGCAGGGGCTGCTCTCCGGACTGGCTCCCGTTCCTCTCCCCGCTCCTCTCTCCTGTCATCGGCGCGGCGCCAGGAGCTCGCTGCAACAAACACAACACAACAGCTCTGTCACGCTCCGCCAGCTCCCTGCCAGAGTTTAAACAAACAGGCCGACCTGGCACTCTGATTTACCGATTCCCAGCCTTGCCAAGAGGTCATACAACCATGAGGGCCAAATACACGTTTTAGTTTTACAGGGAAGTAACAGCAGCCCCTTTTCAGATTCGGGGTGTGGTGAGCAAGCCCAGTGCCATCTTTAAAACACAACAACTGCAGTAAGAATGTTTGATTGATGTACATGGTTTTATCATGTCAAAATATATTCTTATATTATTAGCGGAATTAAAAGCACAGAACTGACTCCTTAGAAATGACTGAAGCCTGAAAACAGAAAAATCCTCACTTAAAAACACTTGTGGAAAACGTTTAGGTGTTCACTGCATCAAAGGACAGGAAATGACTCTTCAGCCTACTGAATTACACAACTCCACTGGTAATGGCATCTACCACCCTTTACTACAGGAACTGTTCATTTCCACCAAAAGGACGTCAAATGTTCTACCCCAGCTCTGTGTGAACAAAGCTGTGGCACACACCAAACAGCCAAACACCACAACTTCTTGATGCATTAAAAAGCACCCAAAATCTCCACTCTGAGGACACTCTGCCTTTCTGCCAGCAGCAGATCCCTATCTGATCCCACGTTCTGTTCCAGCCTGATCCCATGTGCCGGAGCACCCACATGTGGGACAGAGGCAAAAAGATTCTGAACATTAGAATGCCAGAATTGGAAGACGTGGTGGTCTCTTCAGGCTAAAAGTATTTGCTGTTACTGTATTTGTAGAACACAGCAAAGGATTAATAAATAGACAAAATTAAAACAGGTTACTGTCTGTAATTAAAATAGGTTAGTCATCAAAATTACTACCATTAATAGTGTGAAACCCATAAGGCCTCATTTGGAAATATTTCCCTCATATTTTAATGGTTTTAAGAAAAGGGACAGAAATTAGTTCCTGGGATGTCTGTCTTGATAATCTCAGTACAAAGAATCCATTCACCCAGAGCACAATCCTGCTATGAAAAGTGCACACTTGAAATGTTAATCCTCTACTGTAGATGTGAAATGCTACTGTGAGAGAAAAGAACCCAACTACAAATAGTTAAGATTCACTGAAGAATCCTCAGCTACACCAAAGCTGCTTTTTATCACTTTGTTTACACAAAGGGAGTTTAAAAGGCTGAAAACATAACTTATTCCCCTTTGCCCCCGTGCTAGCAGTGTCAGTGACAGGAAGGCCCTGCCATGACTGGGACACTTTGGGAACGGGACAATAAACCTACGTTCTTCCCGCTCGGATCTGAGGGGGGGTCCTCTCCTGAGGGGAGGCTCTCTGTCATCGCCGCGTCGGTCCCTCATGTCACGGCCACCTCTGTCCCATTCCTCACGGCGACCCGAATCTCTCCAGCTCGAGGTTTCCTCAGCTGGGCCTCTTCTCCAGCCAGCATCATCCCTGTGGCCATTCAAAGCAGAACACAAAATGTTAGCATTTTACCTTGGCTGTGGAAAGAAGTGACAATTAAGCACAACCCAGGTATTTTCAGACCCAGTGGTGGTGAAACAGAACTTTACATACTCTCAAAGTTGCATTTGTTTTTCTGGAGCCTCACGTGGAATTCTCTTGAAAATGAGTTAAAAATAAATAAATAATTATAAGCAGTAAAGCATTTTGGGCTTCCTTCTGTAAACAAATGACATCATCTTAAAAATAACAAGCCAACAGGACCCCGAAATGCCACTATCCATTTGCTGCCTGAAGTGCTTAATTTCACTCAAACCAACCCCTGTTCTTTTCACTTGGCAATTCCACATTATTTATCAGCAGGGCACGTTTTTTTTTTCTTTGGCAGAAACACTACAAGTATTTGAAGAGAGAAGGCAAACCTGGGGCGCCTGAACCGATCGTCTCGATCGAAATCCCTCTCCCTGTCGAACTCGCGGTCCTTCTCGTTTTCATCCCGCTCTTTGTCTCTGTCCCACTCCCGGTCTCCTGAAGGTCTGGAGTCTCGGGGAGGGCCCCAGCTGTCCTCACGGGCCTTCTCTCTTTCTCTCCATCCCCCTGTAAGAAAGAAACACACTCAAAGGAATTTCTGGCTGACCTCTGATCTCTCTGTAGACAAAGAAGCCTTTACCTTCCCTCACCGAAACTGGTTCTTCAAGTTTGGACCCCTGAGGATCCAGCTCAAGATGCCTGTAAAAAGCCTGCACATTGAGTGGGAGCCACAGACAGAACACTGCACAAACTGCTCAATGTAAAACCAGCAATCCACACCTGGTGCCAGGAGAGCCTGTAACAGCTCAGCAGTGCTGATCACACCCTGCAGTTTTCAGTCAGAAACTATAAACTCTACAAGGACCTCGTGCAAAACAAGGGCAAGAAGAAGTAGAGGGAGTAGTTTAGACAGTGGGTTCCTTTGTGAAAATCCACAAGTGAGATTAATTTTTTTGAAGAACTTAGTGCTTTTTAAAGCACTAATTTAAAATATGACTGTTGTTACCATCTACTTATCACAGTGCACTCTGCAACATCACCCAGTTATTGAGGAATGGGAGTTCTTCATTGTGCAGCCTGCTTTGGCTTTCAACAGGAAAAGCTGGAGTACAACTTTTGATGTCTGTAACTTTTCTAGAGGTTTGGATTACAGAATTCGTGTCTGTAAAAGTTGATGTGGTGCCTGTGAGCACATAAATAAAAAGAACCAGGAAACCCGAATCATATCTAACATTTAAATGTAATTGACAGCTCTGAAAAGAATCAGAAACAGGTATTCTAGTCCCCATCAACAGGACTTAAGGCTAGAAACAAATGATCTAAGAATAGGATAATTCCGATTTTAAGGCACCTCAGATGGTCTTCTAGTCAAAACTCCACTCCAAGTGGGACTTCACAGAAGGGTCAACACAAAACCAAAAAAGGAATGTTAAAACCAGGAATATCTCTGTACACATAAAAAAGGGATTATTAAAACCAGACTCACTTGAATGAGGTACCAGAATCAAATATACAGAAGGGGTAGGGTAAGAGTCCAACGTGTGCTAATCTAGTGAGAATGTTTCTCTCCCACTAAAGCATTCAACTTATTTTGGCTTTGCACACAGGGAAGTGATCAGCATTACTCTGGGGCCTTTAGGTATCTTCCAGGCAAGCAACAGGCAGTGCTGTTTTTTGGTTATGTTTTTGTTTTTTTAATCAACCAAATTAAAAGGTTTAACTATACTAAGTAAAGGAGTATGCCCATTAGCCAAATTAATCCAGATGTTTTCAGATTCTCTGATTTCCCATCTCTGCATGAGTGCATTACATCTGTTATCTACTGGGCTAACACACCCTTTGGAGGGATGATTACTACATTGCTGTGATTTACCTGGTTTGCCAAATGGCCTCCAAGGACCTGGCCTCGAATCATCACCACTACGCCATGGACCCCTGTCATCATCTCTCCTGGAGAGCCTGTCATCGTCAGCGTTGCGCCATGGACCCCTGTCGTCATCCATGCCCCGCCTGGGCCCTCTGTCGTCATCCAGCCCGCGCCGGGGACCCCTGTCATCATCCATGCCCCTCCGGGGACCCCTGTCGTCATCTGCAGCTCTCCAGCTGCCCCTGTCATCATCCAGCCCGCGCCTGGGTGGCCTGTCATCATCCAGAGCCCGTCTGGGCGGCCTGTCATCATCCATCCCACGCCGGGGCCCTCTGTCGTCGTCCGCAGCTCGCCAGCTCCCTCTGTCATCGTCCAAGCCGCGCCGGGGGGGCCTGTCGTCGTCCAGCCCGCGCCGGGGACCCCTGTCGTCATCCAAAGCACGTCTGGGTGGCCTGTCATCATCCATTCCACGCCTGGGACCCCTGTCATCATCCATAGCACGTCTGGGTGGCCTGTCGTCATCCATTCCGCGCCTGGGACCCCTGTCGTCATCCGCAGCTCGCCAGCTCCCTCTGTCATCATCCAGAGCGCGCCTGGGCGGCCTGTCATCATCCAACCCACGTCTGGGCGGCCTGTCCTCTTCCCCTTCCCGCCTAGGAGGCCTGTCCTCGTCCCCTTCTCGCCTGGGTGGCCTGTCCTCCGCTGAGTCGGTGGAAGGACGTTCCTTTTCCTCCGCAGGACCCCGGCGGGGCAGATCATCCCCCCGGCGGGGCAGATCATCCCCTCGCCGGAAGGGCCTGTCATCATCCCTTGGATCTCCTCGACGCCAATCTCTGCAAAACCAGGGAACAAGGAGAAAATAGGAGCTGACATCCAGGAAAGCTTTACATCAACAGTATCAAACCCTCAAAGCCATTGCTGACTGCATCTGCTAGACGAGTGGCTGCAAACAGATTCTACATCTACAGATAAACAGAGTCTGCATCTACAGAGTGTGCAGCTTCCAAATGCTCTTTGTAACTGCCTTCACTGTTACGGGAAAGCAGTAGGTCACCATCCCTCCAGTAAAGACTGGGCAGTTTACTATCTCCTTCCAAACTCCAGTTTGAAGGGGATAACTACAGTCCCCTGTTGGGTATTTGCTGCAACACCGAGCCTAATCTGACAAACTCAAGCTAAGACTCAGAGAATCAGAATTAAAAACCCCACAACCGTCAATTAAGTGTTCTCCTCCCTCATGACATACCAACCCTACAGTCCCATCCCTGTTTTCATACGCTTGGGCTCAGTTCCAGCCCCAGGGATTGGCAATACTTTCACTGACAAGCCTCCACAGTCCGGCAGGACAACGCAGTGACCTCGTGAGCGAACCCACGGCTCCTGCCCGATGGTAAGCAGGGTGCACCGGGCTCTGGCAGGCTGGCAGTGCTTCCAGGGACTCTCCCTGCTGGGATGTACGTGGGGAGTACAGAATCAGTGAGAATTTTCCCTGGGCTGTTGAGCCATCAGTTCATCTTTGAAATACGTTTGGACTTGTAACACTGAAAAGATCTGACACAGCTGAGCAGTTCGAACCTTCAACTCTTGTCACTTCCCTGGACACACCGTTCAGTCTACTGTCTACAGGATTTTACACACACATTTAGACCACAACCCTTGTTTCTGTCACCAGACTAATTTATTTCTGGAAATTAACCTCCCTCAGCAATAAAAAGAAACAAGGAATAGTACATCACAGAAATGTACTGGCAGATTTTTCCTGGCAGGAGAAGAGAAGCTGCACTGGGGTTGAATCTCATGGTTTTAAAAATTAAAATCAAACCCGAAACACAAGAAAAAAACACTCCCATGTTTAGAGAAATTCACTATGCTACTAAAATGTAAACAAAAGAACAGCAGTGATTTGCTGCAAAGCAACAGATGTAGGACTCCAAGAGGTGAGAACAAAGAGGCAACAGTTTGTGACAACTCTGCCTCTCAGAATTTTGAGCAATAGCAAGCAGTGCATCTCCTCATTTCAGAAGAATAAGGGGGAATCCAATTACCATTGATCTGTGAGATAAAAACCAAGCCATGGAGATTGTTAATCTCCATTTAGACTCAAATTGGATAATATTCTCCTTTGAAAAATCTTATTATTTTGCCATAAAAGACATAAGGAGAAATGGTTATCAGTTTCATCAAATGAACAAGTATTTAATTCATTCAGGTACTGTTTCAGGGTTTTAAGATTTTTAAATCTCTTCTAAACTACTACTTTTAAGCTACTGCCACTCTAATTTTTAAGCTATTACTTGCAGGTGAGGTTATGTCTCTGTTGTTTTTACTGCTTTTTTCTCCTTTGACAGCTTCAGTGATCATTTCAGCTTTTGCCCTTCTTTTCCCTCTTAGAAACCAAGCCAGTTTCTCTTATATAACCCATTTTAAAATAACCTCTAAAACCCCACACAGATATACAAGACTTGAAGGATGCAGACAGCTCTACCCAACAAAGCAGAAACCTGCTGGCAAAGTTCACACCACAGTGCCTACCACTTTACAGGTTCGTAACTCATTTTTACTCGATGCAGGCAAACAGCAAACGGAGCTCAACTCCCCTTTGCTGTGTGTTTATCCTTCTAGTGTTTCTTGACTACCAGCATGTGAGATCTGCTGATCCTCTGGGACAGCAACCTGCGGCACAATAACTGATGGGCTGTGCCAAGCATGCCCTGCCCCTGTCACTGAGTGTCAGGTCTGTTATCAGCTGCCATTTCATTGTTTCAACAGGTCTAGCTCTTGAGGGTTTTTTACGGATTTTCTGTGAACTAGAGAAAGAACAAGAGGTACCACCACAAAATGACTTTTTCTACTTAGTTTTTATAACCAAGCTATCTTTCCTGCACGGTGGAGGAACAAATACTGGCAGCCTAATCATAACTGTGAATAAAGCTGCTCCCTGTCCCAGAGACAGGCAGCACGTGCTGGAACTCCTCTGTCTGTAATTTGTTTCCTCTTGCACCTGGAACAACACATGGAAAACCCTGGAACATGGTGATCCCCTGCAATTCAGCACTCTGGGGGTTGTGGTGCAGTACAATTGCTTGCTCTGTGACTGCAAGGATGTGTGTACCAACATGGCACACTCAACCAGTGCTGTGCCATTTCCATCACAAATTGCCTATCACGCAATTTTTAGAGCTTTTCTCCTTGCATCAGCACCCATAGAGACTTTTTGAGGCATATATCCAATAGCTGCACTTCCAGCTAGATCCTGCTGCAAATTAAATCTGATGCTCTGTCATCGGTGTTACTGCCTTTATCACTTGATGCAGAGATTCATGTTGGCATCACTTTACTCAGGTTTGCAGTGCTCTTTGTATCCAACACATTTTCCCTTCAGGGTTAAAATCCAGCTGAAGGTACACCAGGGACTAACTAAGGAGTGCACCTTTCTGCTGCAGTTATGTCTGAGCATCATCACTTTTACTTTGATATTTCCTAAATTCAGCAAATAGGAAATAATGGAGAAACATTCCTTTACTAAAAATTACGTAGAGATACGGATTTTTACTTTTATCAATATATCCTTTTACTATTCCCCAGTATATTCACTTCAGTAAGAGCAAGGAGGAAAGTTTTACCAAACTTACTATTTAATGCAAAATATTGCTAATTTTAACTCCTTAGCAATCACTTGGCTGCCTTTCTACATATAAATAGATGCATTAAACACTTTACAGAGTCACAGGCTGCTCTGGGTTGGAAAGGACCTGAAAGATCACCTCATTCCAATTCCCTTCCACCAGACCAAGTTGCTCAGAGCCCCATCCAACCCGGCCTTGGACACTTCCAGGGATGGGGCAGCCACAACTTATGCATTATGTGAATAATTAAAGGCTTCACTCAAAGTTTCATCCAATTTTTACATTTTGCAAATCAAGAGAAAGTGGATCCCTACCAGGAATGGCAACACAGCCTTTAAGGAAAGACAGAATGCTATTGTTTATCAAGAGATCATACTCTTCCAACTCATTAAAAAAAAATTACTAGAGAGAGTAGGAGTAAATTAATTTGCTTCCACTGGAGTCAGAGGAAGCACTAATGGATTTAAATTGCTGCACTGGAAATTAGGGTTAGACATTTATAAAAATCTGTCTACCTGGAAGGCTAATTAAGCCATAAAACATACTGCCAGCAAGAACCAGCAGTGCTGTCTCCACCAGCACAGGCTTTTAAGGACAACTAGAGGTGCACCACCAGAAAAATTTTTAGCTACAGCTCATCCTGATGTGGAGCAGAAAAAGGGACAAATGTTAAAGATCTTATTTTCTACAACTGTATGAACAGTTTTCATTATTAGTGAACATATCCAAAACCCCCAAAATACATAGATATAAACAACTGAGGATTTTTTTTTTTTTTAAGTGCAAAGTACCTTCAGACAGTTGCCCTTCTCTGTTTAATACAGTCCTTCAGAACTTTGTTTAATTTATGGCATGTATTTTCTGCCCTGGGACTCACTCTGGGACTTGCACAGGTTAAGACTCTGAATTTTGACTTTACTATTCTTATATATTATTGTCAGTCTTCTTAACAGAAAATCTCAAAGAATCTCATCGTTCAGGAGCCCTGCATTTGCTTGTCATCTGTATTTACACAACTGACACCAATGTTTGAGTGGGGGAGGAATTTTTAATTCAAAAAAGAAACCAAGTAAGCAAGTTGTTCATCACACACAGAAGGTGTCTGGTACCCTTCACATATCTCAGCTAAATAAAACAGGAATGTTATCTGAATGCAGTTCCAAGATAAAACCTCTCTCTCTTTCTGGGATCCTCATGAAGCAACTTTTTAACACAAGGTAACTTTCAGATCTGCAAAAGGCATGAGATATTACTCAGTTTATTATTGCAGACTTAGCAGTGCCAACAACCTGGGAGCCCAACTTTGAGCCCAACACAACTGGTGCCCAGTAACCCCTGGATTACCTTTCCACTGGTGCTCGACGCCACTCAGATTCTGGCTCCCCACCTCTCCTCCAGGAGCTTTCAGACTCCCTGTCACCCCAGCGAGACTCCTGTGTGTCAAAAGAAATCAGGAACATGCTCTCTGAGTACTTCAAAACCAAGATTTTCAATACATAACTTACTTTCAGGGCATACTATGTCATTAAAAAGTCACTAGTCACACTGCAGGGGAAATACAAAGTTTACCAAAGATCTTGCAGATCCACTCTCTGTGTTTGTCTCCTTAAATGCTTTTGAAGTGACCCCAGTGAGCAACAGTGAGCAAAGAATCCCAGAACTGCAAATGGAATTTCTGAAGTGGTACAGATATCTCTCTTGGAACCTGAGCCAGCTTTTCCATAGAGTCAAGTGCTCATGGCTAGGAGACCTCTTATGTGAAAAATACCCATACTGATTATTTACTTGACAGACTATCCAAGCAATTTATACAAGCCCTGATAACTTATCTTTGGGGTGTTACTCAGTGAAGTATGTATTTAACAAAGAGAAAGGCTGTGGTAGATGAAATTTTTAACTAGTTCTCTTGAACGGTAAGTTCTGAAGAACTTCTGTAGAAGGCTTATGGTACTCAGTTACATTCTTTTAAATCCTTAAACATTCATTTGCAATTAACTTCTGCTTTGTTTCCTGTTGGATTGGGATAATGTTTCTAGATTGGGATGTTTCTATTTGTAAACAGAAAGTTGCACACACCTCTTGTTTTACATTATTGCATATTTCTTTTCTTTTAAAATAAAAAACTATGAGTTCATGTTTAGTCTGGAGTTTTTCTTCAATATCTACTTTAATTCCTGACTTTGTCATGAGAAACTGCACTTGCTTCCAATATAGTTTTCCTTCTCTTGTGTTTAAGAAAATTTTATCCAATTCTCATTTTAGCCTTTAATTGTTTAATTTTTAAACAGCTTGGAGCTCTTAGCAGTTTCTTTATTTTACTCTAAGCTCCAGATTCCAGATCCTGATAATGAGTGACAATAATTAACTACTGAATTAGCCACTCCCCCAGCTTAAAACCCAAAAACCCCCTACAACTTTGCAACGCTAACATCATCTTCCAAATAATCTAGAGAAAGAGCAGCCAAAAGGAAAACAAACCTGCAGGCATTACCCACCTTCCTTGAAAACGGGTCATCCAGGCCCCTCCTCTCCTCCTCCCGACGGCGCTCCCTCTCCTCGATCTCCATCTCCCTCTGACGTTTTTTCTTCTCCAGCTCTTCCAGTTTCTTGACCCTCTCCTGGTATTCCCGCTGCTCCTGCTCGCGCTTCTCGCGCTCGATGCGCTCCTTCTCCTCGCGCTCTGCGGGGCGGGGAACACACGCACAGCTCACCAAGACAAGTTCCACTACTCTGCTGTGTGCACAGAGGAGTCACAAAACACAGTCTGACTCCTTGAAAAAGAATAAATAAAAAGTCCAGACATTGCCCGTGATGAGTTTAACTGACCACAGAACCTGTTTTCTGAAAGTATCTCAACTCCAAAGAAAAGGAGCCCTGATACATCCATTAACGAGACATCTTGAACAGCCCGCAAGAAGTTCCAATACCTTATGTTAATTCCATGTACAGACCACAAATGTGCCAGCTAAAACAGCAGTAACTACCCCTAAGCATGGTGGGGGATGCTTTCCTTAGGGAAGGCCAAACAAAAAAATCAGCTACCAGTGTCAAATTTGATATTCTTGACTGCTTCGGTTTTCGTTTGCTTTTTAAATACCACGTGACTATGAACTTTGATACATAAAATCTTCATCCTCCGAGTGACAAACAGGACAGGAATTCACCTTACAGGATGCCAACCACCTCTTCTCTTCCAAAGCCCTGAAATGGGCAATCAGGGCTATCAGACAAAGCAATTCACAAAGAAAGGTGTGCAAGTCGCTTACAGTTCTGAAGCTCTTGATCTGACACCAATGTTCCCCTTCTTTTCTCCTTAAGATGTGCACAGACAAGTGGCCAGAACTCAAACTAAAGGCTAAAATCAAAGACTCCATTTCTCACTCGCCTCCCTTACTTTATTACCTCCTTTATTCACATCTGGGAGCAGGGCAGGGCAGGAAGCACTGAGATGCTTTCATTTTCCCTCCCTGCCACGAGGCTTTACCCTCATCTCTGTGCTGCACAGGTAAGTGTTCAGGAGGTGTCTCAGCTAACACAGAAAGGCACAGTACCTGAGAGCAACGAACAGTCTGCTCCACTGACTGGAAACTGAAAAGATTCCCTCCAAAACTGGAACAGGGACATCAGACTCTAGCTGTGTCACACAGATGGAACGGGTCAAGGGTGCAAAGGATGAAATACCAATGCTCTCCATCACACCTTTAAGCAGCTGCTCCTCTCGTAATCTCTGCTCCTCCTCCTCCTTCTCCCTGTAGTAGGTGATCCGTCTCTCCTCCTTGCGCTGTTTCTTGCGCTCCTCCAGGCGATTCCGCCTCTCTTCTGCCAACCGCTCCTGGAACTGCTTCAGCTTATCCTGGAACACCAACAGCACGCCTGAGATCAACACAACTGCCCTGCCCCACAGAGCAACAGCAGCTGGACAGCTACAGACTGCTAAAGAAAGCTACAAAACACAACCACAACCTCTTCTGTGTAAGAGAACACAAAATACACCCCAACTTAGAAGACAATCAAATCATCATACGCAATATTAGTCCTTTATCTGCTTTTTTTCTGAAAAGGAATTGCCTAAATAATATTTTACCTGTATCTAGAGTATTTTACTTAGAATCACATAGAGTTACTAATTTATTTTAACAAAATAGTTTTCTGCTTTTTTTTGGTAAAGCCAATTCTTACAGAAACACAGTCAAATATTCAAAGCTATGAACAGCCTCAGGAAATGTGAAATTTTAAAATGTAGAGCAAGGAACAGAGGCACAGCTCTTTCCCTAGCCTTGTGGTCTCATTTGTTTTTAAATATTGCAAACACAAAACACAGCTTGACCAAAAAAAAAAAAAATACTTAAACTGTCAAAATAATTTCCAGACTCAAACACAAAAATTAAAAAAATAGAGAAGTCTTTCCACCTGTTTCTCAGCTTTGGTGTTATTGCCAGTACTATGCCATCACCACAGTAAGTCCAAGTACTTGTGCAGATACAGCTGACTGTCTTTGTGTCACCCAATGATCACTTACAAATTCTGTACTGAAATTAATGATTTACCCATCTTTTATTTTCCACAGAAGCTATTTCAGAAATTGTCAAAAACTGTAAATGATAATGTCTAGGAACGGGAGCACAAAATTTCCTTTTTTTTTAAATAGTCAAAGCAGAAAACAAACAATTCCACAGCTGTGAGCCATTTTAGACACTAATTTGTTTCCAGTTTCATGAAGAACAACTGGGTCACAGTTTTAGTTGCTCACTTTAGGGGAGTACTTTGTTCCAGTGCCAAATCTACTGTACCTCATACACTGTTCTTCGGGATGCTTTGAGCCTGGCTTCAAACAGATCTCTATCCTCCAGCATCCTGGAGAGTCTGCTCTTGTGCTCCAGGGCTTTCTCACGCTCCAGCTGCAGGGTGGTGATCTAAAAACAGAAAATACACAAAGTACAGCTTTACCGTGCATTTGGATTCAATCTACCTCAGCCACTAGAAAGAGAAATTATCTTTTCCTCTTTCAGAGCCAAGAGAGAAGATGTTGCTGTTGCAGCACAACCCAACTGCAAAGCCAACACTTCATTCCTTCTTCTCTTAGATTGACCCGGGGAAAAAAGGTAGTGCAAAACCCACTACTTTTCATCCACTGCTAAAAGTCTGAACAAAAAAATTCTTACCCTTTCTTCTTCCTGTTGCTCCCAGAGCTCCATATCATGCACCCTTTGTTCCTCATATGCAGTCTTTATTAAAGGAATTTCTTCTAAGCGCTTCGCTCTTTCAAAGTAGTCGATCTAAATAAAGATAACACAGCTTTAGCACGTCATAAACACAAAGCCCAAATCTGCAAGACTCCATCTTCAGCATCCCTCGAAGAAAACCCTCATATCTGGAGGCTTTCTCAATATATCTGATATAGTATGGCTACGTAACAACCATGCTGGATCATATCAAAGGCCCACTTAGCCAAAAACCTGCCTCTAGCACCAGCAACTAAATGCTCCCCTAGGCAGGACAGGCACACACACAGCACTCTCTCAGCATCAGCTCCCAGCATCTCCTGGCTAGGAAGCCTTTTTATATTTTAAGCATCAGTGGATTTCTCCTCCTGTCCTTCTGAACTCAAAGGAGCTTTTCACACACAACAGTGTACTCTGGAGAGGACTCCCGTGTGTCTGTGACTCACAGCATGAAGATCCACCCTCTACTACAAACAGCTCTGAACAGGAGTCCTGCTGCTTCCTTTGATGCTTCCTACTCCACTGCCCCTGGCTGTCAGTGCGAGAACAACTGCTCCCACCATCAGCTCTTGTGACAGGTACACTCTTCCAGACTGACACATCCTCTCCTGAGAAATCTGACAGACAGAGGGGTGCTATTCTACATGGACATTTCTCACACACAGCCAATCCACACCACGGGTAATTCTTGTTGCCCTCCTGTCTAATTTCCAGTTCAACTGCATCTTTTTAGAGATAAAGAGACTGCAGACAGTGCTCCAAATGCAGAAGAACCAAGTTGTCATTGCTGGCTAAGAATGTTAAGTTTGGAGCCCATCAAATGATGCCAACCTAAAGACTGGGGGATTTTTTTTTTCCTGCTTCCCTACATAAAGTTTTATATGCATCAAACAGAACATTTCAAGGGCATTTCTTTTTTGTACCACAGCTGATAAATGTTTTTTGGTGAAGAACTCTGTGAAAAGCTTTTCGGAAATCCAGCTCAGTTACACCCATCAGATCACCCTTACTCATGTTTGTTTTGACAGTACAGAGCACTCCAAGAGGCAATCCTGCCTTAAATTCTTTTATAGAAGCTGTGTGCCTGTCCAGGTAGATCACATTTACTCAGGTGACCACTAACTGTACTGGGTCATGTATTTTCTGCTGTTCTGCCCAGTGTGAGCAACAGGTGAGTTCCACCTTGCCCAGGTCACATGTTCCTATTTCCTGTGCCACATTTCTCACACCTTTATAGCTATCCACATTTCAGACAGATTCTTTTTTCCCATCTAGGAGGACTCCAGCAGTGGAACGCCTTCTGTTTCAGCGAGGACTAACACAGTTAATGAATTTAGTTTCTCCACAGTGACCTCCCCTTCTCCAAACATTTAATCTTCCCTGAACATTTTTCTAATTACAAGACCCAGTTTACATAAAGTTTAAGGGTCCTGTTTCAAATCAACTCCATTAATTAGGACAGACTTCTGCAGTGAAACTGGAGGCTCCGATGGTTTATAACACATTTATCCTTTTTCAGTTTCAAACAATAATATTTCCAACATCGGTATTATCCACACACACACATATATATATGTATGCATATTTGTGTATCATCACAGGAGTTCACATTCACTGAACTCCAGGGTGGACATGGGTTTCTACCCTTCCTACTTTGTACCTTTTTCTCCTGATTCTTCAGACGTTCCTGAAGTTCCTTCTTCTCTTTCTCCAGCTGCTCGACTTGTTTAGCCATAATGAAGTCAGGATCCAATTCTTCAAGATCCTATAACCAAGTAAAGTTATCAATACAAAATAAAGCAAACGTTTTTTTCTGTTGCAAATGTGATTTGTTTACTTATTCATTTAAGCTTCTCTGCAGTTTCCCCCTCAGCTTTCAAATTAATTTGCTTCAGAAACATTCTGAATTGTTGATTTTTAATTGAGACACAGTCCAGATACTACAAAATTGGATCTGGAGGTCTATTTTGTATTTCGGACACCATTTAAGCAACAGGGGAGAGGGAAACAAAACAAAACACCCAAAACGAAACTCCCCCAAACAAACAAATAGAGAGACAACAAAAATCAAAACCAAACAAGGTGCTTACTCCCACAGGTGAAAAAGGTCCCATCCAAACCCAGAGTTCAGGTTTACTTACACTGTCTCACTCTTAAGAGAGGCTGTTTTTAAGACCAGTTACAGTACAAAGCCAGTAAACCCCATGAAATTCAGGCAGCCCAGCAACGTAACACCCAAAGGGTAAGAAAATAACCTGACAGTGCAACAAGCCCTTTACCTCAATATCGATATCTTTAAAGGCTTTGGCTCCCAGTTCAGTTTTCTTGATCTGCTCCAGGCGCTCCCGAACGGTTTTCTTTTTGATCTGCTCATGCTCCTGCAGGATCCGCTCCTTCTCCCTCTCCTTGGCCTCCTGGCGCAGCCTCTCCTCTTCAGCTTTGCGCACCTTCTGCAGCTCTGCCTCCCGCTGCTCCAGCTCCTCCTTCTCCCTCTGGATGTTGAGGCTCTCCAGGCGCTCCTTCCTCTCCTCGATGGTCTGACGGCGCGCCAGGATGCGCTGATGCTCCTTCCGCGAGTTCTTCAAGAAGGCGGTGACCGCCAGCTGATGCTGCTCCTCCTTCTCTTGCTGCATTCAAATGAACAAAAGACAGTGATGTATGCAGCACCTCTTGAAAAGGGCAGAAAAGATGGCAAATGCCTCTCAAAGAAAACTCAAAAGTTCATTGTATTGTCCGGACTTGCCAACTGCACGGAAATACAAATGTGATGGCAAACCTAATCCCTCATCCAAGTGGCACCCAAGGGTAGTGGATTCCATCAACTGACCGGGACCCTGCTGTCTGTAAAAGACAGCGTTCTGCAACATGGCTTAGGTGTAACAGTTTCACAGTTTTCTGCCCAAAAATACGGCACACCCAGATGTTACTGACAGTGAAATTCCAAACCGAAAGAGGCGTGGGGGTCAATCCTGGTTGACTCTGCACGTATCTGCACACACACCACCACATGGACCGTATTTCACCTGAGCTCCTTTGTAGAGTTTTGTAATTTTCCAGACACACTAATGTAAGAGAAAAATATCCTAACTGACACGAAGCACTGTCTGTGAGATGATGAAAAAACGAGTCAACAATTTAGGCATAAACATTGTATATAAACCCACTGTAATGGCCTTACAAAAGGCACAAGGGTTCTAGATATCAGCATACAGACTATTCTTTAGGCAGCCTTCTCAGCTCCCCACCATTCTCCAGAGCACCCAGAGAGTTCTTTGCAGAGATTCATGCTGTACACACCAGGAGGTGTAATTGTGCCAGCTCCACCAAGCAGCAAAACACTGCAGCCCAGTCAGCTCCCTACAGTCCCTCAGTCACGCTGGTCATGAAATGCAGCCATGAAATGTGAGCTCCTTCACAGGTATTTTTAGCAATCTGTCACTTCTAGGGCATTCAACAAAAACACTCAAACATCCCATGCTTTGTGGCAGATCTGCAAACATGTGCAGTTAAATGGAGGTGCCAGAAATGCAAAAGTGAAAAGCTTTAGATGAATTTAACGATTCTGTGAATTATAAAAAATGTGACAAATTAAAAGTTCTGAAAAGACTGAAAAGTTTTGATCTGAATAATGAAGGGGAAAAAAAGGCTATCAGCTTGTTCTGTAGCTTCTCTACGCACACAGATTGATATTAGCCTTGATAATGCTCCCCGGTTTTATGGGCATAATGACAAGCACTTATGTCATTTATGTTATTCAGCTTCCTGTACCAACATGTCAAGTGTGAGATTGTCATTTCTATACATGAAGGTACAGATAAAACCACGTGTTTTTTTCTTTCAAAATGACCATCTGACTAATACCAATCACAAATAAAATCTTTTTAGGAGAAAATGTAGATGGAAATATTTTTTATCTTAAACACTATCAAACAGGTAACATGTGTTCAAACCAACACCTTGAAGCCAAGAGCCCCAGGGAGGAGGACAGGGAGTGACAAGAACAGGGCACTTCTTGAGCTGGAGGATCTTTTGTTTTCAGGTTCCACTATGAAGTTACATTTCAGGTTCTTCAAAACAGCAGTTTCTCCAGGAGGAATAAAGGAAGCAGGCTCTTGGATTTTCAAAAATGCATGCAAAATTTTAAACAAATCCTAGCTCTGCAGGCTCACCTCTGGGAAGGTTATTATTTGGTACATCCTAATCCTGATAATATATGCAAGACTGGCAACTCATGATTTAATTATAACCAAACACTAACTAGATGAGTTTTTTTAAGAATGACTTTGTCACAAACACAAATAACTGATTACCACTAGGCTGAGAAAAATGAAAGTAAAATGAACATCTAATCTGAGAAAACACACTCATTAAAATATAAGCTTTGGCATGAAGTGTTGAGTTATCAGCTTATGTTTCTACTTAATCCACAAACAGGCAAATGCAGCCCGTCATTACTGTCAAATTAGATCAGATCACTACCACGATGCTCTGAAAAACACTTCTGAAAATAAAACAAATGTACAAAAGCAGCTACTCAAATCCTCACAATGTCACGTTAACATAATCATTTAGAGAGCTCACTGCCTTTCCTGTGTCAAGGAAAAAGAAACCAAGGAACTCCTTCAAGTGTGATCTCCCAACTTCAAGACAAGCAAAAACTTCATAAAAGGCTGGATAGAAGGTAAGAGATGAACTTCACAGAGTGCACACAGGCAAAATGTCAGATTTTGTCAACATTTTGGTAACACTTTAAACAACTTACCATTAAGTGAGGAGGCTTAATGACTGCAAGAGCCTTAGCCAGAGCCGAGGACATGGCAGTCAGCTGGTTTCTGATTTGCTCAGAAGGCATGCTTTGGAGCTGAGGGCCTAGTGGGGCATCCTCTCTAGTACAGTAATTCAGATCTGAACCGAAACTCAGGGTCCTGGTGGTGTGATCAAGGCGAACCTTCACAAAAAACAAGGGGAAGGAAATGATTTTATTATTTATTGAACGATTTCTCTGTTGCTCTGCCTATGACCAATATGAGCCAACAGAAGCTATAAGCAGAAATTAAAGAAAAATTAGCTGCACCATTCTATGAGAAATGCCAAATTAGTAGGAGAAATACAGCACCATGAATAAAAGTTTGTTTTAATTCTATGGTTCATACAAGAAAAAAGCCCAACCAACCCACAAAAAAAAAAATATCACTGGAAGAGGCTGGGCTTAAAATGATTCTATGAAATGAGCACTGCAAGACAAACCATTCTTGCCTCTTCCTCCACATGAGCAATCCACAAAACTAAGAACCCTAACTTCAGTGCAGGGAACTGCAACACTTCACGGTGCGTGTTAACCTAAGTGAATCAACCTACCTTCATCTAAAAACCTAAATGGATAATTACTAAGCAACCTCAACTAAAAACTACCTGCACCTCGCTGCTGTTCTCTCAACATGGACACTTTACCAACAGTGCACTCCATCTCAGACACTGGGGTTTCACTTCAGTGCCTTGGTGAGACACAAACCAACGTCAGCAACTGCTGGCTCTTTAGTCTTGCACAACTAATGCAGCACAGGCAGCAATTCACATCCCTGTTTGTCAGACCTGCTTCAGGATATGCTGGGCTAAATGACTGGGGCTCACAGGGCAAATTTTGTTTTCAACTCCCGGTTCAACTGGACTCGCATTAATGGCTGTTGACCTAAATCAAAAATACACACCAGACTGCAAATGATCTTCAGTTCTTAAAATACTGTCACACGCATCTTTCACCCTAGCTTATCTCCATCTATCAGAATCGATTCTTTTCCTTGGGTTGCATGTCAGCCAGCTCATTCACATGAACCCATTCAGCACCTCTCAGGAGTCATGTCACAGCACCCACCTGCAGGTCACAGTGCCTGGCGGCGTCCACGATGCAGCGCTCCAGCGTGAACGCATCCACGAAAGGAACCAGCGTGCACAGGCGAGCAAACTCAATGCTCTGGTAAATCTGGGCCACCTGGGTGTCAACAGAACCATTAGGTATTTTTCCTCAGTAAAAAGAAATCAGGAATATAAGTTGTTGCACAGGCCTTAAGAGTTTACTGACTAAACAGTCAAAAAACGAATGTATGCATATTAATACAATCGCAAATGCCCTTCCAGGATTTTATTTCTGTACTGCATTCAAACTTCACCTGAGATGAAATGCCATTCCTGAATGGCTGCTTTGTATGAAGGAGACTGGCAGCAGTAACTACACACAGCTATGCTGCTAATTAGCCTTCAACCATTTCTTTAGCACACCAGAAATAACACTGCTCTCACTTGTAATGAAAGCAGGTCAATGAAATGTGCATCCTAGAAAACACTGGATACAAAAAACCAATCAAAATAAACCCAAAACCAAAGCAAAGTACCCCCTCTAGACCTTCCTCCAAAGAGAAATTTTAAGAAACTTGGTAAGTAATGAAGAAAAAACAGGCAAGGGATTACACCACTGTACCCCTCTATCAACTACAGCTACCACGGCTGTACCTAAACAATGTACAAACCAAAGATACAGGTTATATACTGAGAAAATAAAATCTCAAAATCATAACGCTCTTCTATTTGATGGGGAAAAAAATTACTTCAGCATGAAATTTTCCAACTTCCTCTCCTTCCAAAGCATTTACTAACCTATGTATACTTAGGAACACACGTTTTCTTCACTCTCACCTGCTGCAGAAGGCGAAGAATGGTATTGTTTTGCAGGTGAGGAACATACAGCTGCAGTTCCGGTTCCTTTTCAGCTTGGTCTTTCACCCAGTTGAGAACCTATCAAAAGTCTGAAAAGTTACTCTATCTGCATCGACCCACACAAACTTCCCCATTAAAGTACAAAGCATGGTTCATAAATATTCCTGGATTACAGCTCATGGAGCAGCAGCACTCCTGTCCAGAGAGTGCACTGTTTCAATGAAGAGCATCTTCTGACAGAGCACTCATTCGTAGCAGATAGCTAAGAGTTTTTGTATGAAGGTGACTGACAGTACTGGCAACGTTTACCACACTGCTAATTTACCTTCAAGTTCTTTTTAGCACATCAATTATCTTTGTTCCCACTATCGAAGAAAAAGAACATGATGTGCTTCACCAATTGCAAAATCTGCACTAACCCAATCAACAGCTCTCACGTTACTCTACCTCCCAAGCCTCTGCATTTTAACAGTGAAAAGTCACTGGTATATCTTTCCACTTTGCACACAACCCACTCGCCTGCACGTGCCTGCACACAGCTTTCTCACTTTGCATATTTAAACAAGATTAACTCACTGTCACCTCCACAAAAAAAACCTTCTGACACATTCCCAAAACTCTGCCTCTTTATGGGACCCTCTGAAGAGCACTCCAGAGACCTGAGTGAATTTTCATTCTACTTCAATAACATGCTGCAACTCATATATCAGATGTCACGGGCACGTCACCGCAATGGAACCCGACCAAATCAAGCCTACTTTTGAAAAACCTGGCAATAGAAAAAGCTAGTTGATATTTACCACAAATCAATATTCAAATAACAGACTATTAGTCAAGACCAGCTACCACCCAGAGCTACAAAACTTACCTTGCTGACACGGGCACTTAACTTGAGCGGGTGAAAGTCTACCTCAAGCCAATTGTAAAGCTCTTTCACTTCTGGGACAACATATTGCACTACGTTGAACCTGACCTGCAGTCGACAAAAACAATCCAAAGACCTCAAAATGAATACAATATCAGTCAACAGTTATGCATTAAGACTTTCATATTCAAGAATTGAAACAGGTACCACATGTGCATTTTAATACAGATTACTTCTCATTAGGACATTCTTAACTGCAGTGACAGTAACTCTACACTACACCACTTAAATGTATTTAAAAATGGAAAAGGAGACATAAAACATGTAAACAAGGTAAACAGGCTAAAGCACCATCCTCAACTTAGCCATTTCCAAGACACAAGGCCTAATACACTTGTAGGCCCACAACCTAAAATCCTAGAACAAGCTAGAATCACACATCTCTATTCATGATCAAATTGCTGAAGCCTTAAGTTGTGGTTTTGAGGCAAACCAGAGAGGTACTGGAAGAAGAAATAACTTACATTCAAAGCTCATTGTGCAGTGTATGTTTTAGACATGCATGTGAAGGACTGCAAAAAAATCAAACGTTCTCTGAAAATACCTGTGACAATGTCTGATTTGTTTACAGGTATCTGGGGATAGATATCTAAGGATTGACCAATCCAGCCTCCCTTCAAATGAAACACAAGGAAGTTCTCAGAATCACTTAGATTTGCATGGTCCGCCATTTGATATATGACCTGTGCTTATCCAAAATACATTTAAAACAGGAAAAGAAACACTTGGCTCAGGTAATTACACACCTTAGCGTAGGAAAAAAACCCCAACAGTTCTAGTTCACAACCCACTTCAGACCCCTCAATTTCAAAACGACATTTATTGCTTGAGTGACATAAAGGACCATATGGAATCTGACTGTTCAGTGCACCCAAGAATTCACTGTCACTGCCATCTCCAAACAGCCCTTGTGAATCTGCAGCTTCAACAATGCACCGCGGGTCACAAAATGAACCCAACTGCCGCCCCCCAAGTGGGCACAGCGCTCCAGAAGGAGAACAGCCCTCAGTGCTGTAAAGCTGCTGCCCTGGCACCAGCACCTACCATGTCATTGATGAGGCTGGCACGTGTGGGCGGCGCCTGCAGCCCCAGCAGCGTCGCCAAGCGCCGCTGCTTCTCCACGATGATGCCGTCCATGTCCAGCAGGCGGGCGATGTCGGTCCTCTCAGGAGTTATAGGGATTGACAGCGTGGCCAAAAGCACTCGGGTAGACATCCTGTTGATGGAGCAGAAGCACAAGAGGTGAACTGCAGGAAACACTTAATTCGTGCATGTGCCAGTTCAAGAGAGGAATGAGCAGCGTTTACGATGCACAACTGTGTAAAAATACCAGTAATAACAGATATGCCACCTGCACCGTGAGGACAGAATGCAGAGTTCCTCAGGAACAAGAGGAGAGAGTTTTGTAACTTTTATATGGATGTACATACATATATATACAAAGGAATTATGAGAAATTTAAGCTGCCTCTGTAAATACCAAAACATTATAAAGTAATGAAAACAGCAGAAAGTAGCACCTTTAAAAACTTCTTTTAGCTGCAAATCCATCCCAGTCATTTTGAATCACTTTATTTTTTAAAATTTACAGGGCAAGACAGATGTACTTTTCGATGTAACAAAACAAGTGGCATTCAATAGTTAAAATCTGGTCTTAGTACCCAAGTGAACAGGAATGTAAGAATTTCCATCACGTATTCATTATGACCAGAAAGGCCTGTAGATGAACTTCAGAGGTTAATGCAGTCAGTGATTCTGCACACCTCAAAAGCCTTGCCAGTTGGTACCTATTACCAAAAAACTAAAGGCCCCCTGGCGATGCAGATATTTATACATTAAGTTTACATTAGCTATTGTGAAACCTTGAGAAATAAATCCCACCACTCAGAAGAGAAAAAGGAAACAAAACCCCAGATACTCCTTGACTTGCTTAGCTTCCAAGGCAGGAAGGGAAGGAAGCTTAACCAAGGTGATCCTGGTGTTCACAATACTTACAGTGCAGCTTTGTGAAACATCCTTCTTGCTCTAGGATTTCTTTTGAGGCAATTAGGATTGGCCAATTTAGGCAGAGCTGCTCATAAGTCATGCCTGTCATCTGCTTCTTTTTTTGGGGTACATTTTAGTTTATTTTTGAACCTAGGGCGTTAAAAATAGAATCTAAGATCACATTATATGTCCTTCCCCACCTCTGCATCTCCTCTTGGGTGAGATTCTTTCGCATTTCTCTTGATAAGTGATACAGTCGGTGAAGGGTGGACGCATGAAAAAGAGCATTTCCTGATTTCCAGAAGACAGTTGAAACTTTGTGATAGTAGTTCGCCATCAGCTGTGGTTTGGGTGGTTTCTTAGACAGTGCAAATAGTCCATGGATATCTTCCACTGCTTTGAAAGCTTCCTAAAGAGAAAAAAAAAAAAACAAATACAGAAAGTTTTTTGCAACACCCCAAAAAAAGAAAAATCTGAATTCATTAAAGGTTCTACTATTTTACTACTATATCAATTGTACTATTTATTGGCTTTACCATTTTTCATAAAAATAGTTTTTGTGATCAAACATGGGTACAGTTTCCCTAAAAAACACAAGACAACCTGGAAATGCCTTAGATGTAACTACTAAATCCCTAAAATGCAAACAGCACACCAGAGAGTGTTCTCCAAATTCACAAACCCAAAAAACTACAACCTTGGCTTTTAAAAGAATTTCTTGGCTTTTTAAGGGATTTGATGTTAGAAATGTTGGCAGAGGTGGAGGCGTCATCACAGCATCACAGAATCAGCCAGGTTGGAAAAGACCTCTAAGATCATCAAGTCCAACCCTTGATCCAACCCCGCCGTGGTTCCCAGGCCACGGCACTGATGCCACATCCAATCTGTCCTTAAACACCTCCAGGGATGGAGAATCCACCACTTCCCTGGGCAGCTCATTCCAATGGCTGAACACTCCCTCTGGAAATAATTTCTTCCTAATATCCAACCCAAACCTCCCCTGGCAGAGCTGGAGACCACACCCTCTTGTCTTACTGAGAGCTGCCTGGGAGAAGAGACCAACCCACACAGTCTGCACCCTCCTGTCAGGGAGCTGTAGAGAGTGATGAGGTCTCCCCTGAGCCTCCTCTTCTCCAGGCTCCTCACTTTCACAACTCCACGTGACTTCAGCTACTTTACCAGTTCCTGCTCCCGACAAAGCTCGGTTTGAAGTGCAGGACCATCAGACCAAGCATTCAGTGTGCAAGTAGCACCATGTTCTGGCCATTAAAACTTCACTCTAGCTCTCATCCTTTCTCCACCTTGCTACCTATACCACGGAGGAGCTGGCTCTGGAGGGCACAGTGTGCCGGGGACAGCGCTGTGCGTACCTGCCACAGCTCCATGCTGATGGCACTGTCCAGCTGCACGAGCCTGGTCTCCAGGTGCATGGACTGGCTGTCGGGGTTGTTGAGGTTGATGGCTGTGCTTTGGTTGTGGTGGCGCTGGATCTGCCCCAGGTGCATCCGCAGGTTGTCACAGAGCTTGCGGAACTCGGCCTTGCGCGTGTACTGCAGGCAGAACTTGAAAGCTGCAGAAAGGAACAGCACAGATCAAGGAACGGGAACTAACGGGGACTTCACTTCTAAATGGGATTCAAATGTGTAAATCAGAACATTTAAAGAATCTGCATTTGCAGTCAAAGGATACGTGCCAGGAACATGACAATGCTCGATTGGCCATGACCTGTAAGGGAGGCCAATCCACCTTCAGCAGACCCACGCAGGGGTATAAACATTCCCCCATGACTGCACATGCCGCGCTTGCCAAACTTCTACAGGCAGTCCCACTCCCTCCAGACATGAAGTTATGTAATACTCTAACCCCAATCCCCCTCCCCGAAAAGCTAGAGGAAGCTGCAACAGCAGTGCAGCAAGCACTTCATGAAATACAAGTAAACTCCACCTGAGGAATGTCGAGGCTAAACTGGCTCGGATGGACTGAAGAGACCTTTGTTATTCAGCCTGACTGCATTTAAAGAGACAAGACAGAGATGTTCCGAATGGGAAAAAGGACTTTAGTCATGAACAACTTGAGTCCATATTGGTGTTTGAGCTACAGGGTGATGGAGAAGCCTAGAAGGTAACGGAGCTACTGTGTATGTCTCAAACATGGATGGCTGGAAAGCTGTGGAGGCAACCAAGGACTGTTGGCAACAACAACCAAGGAGTGCTGGTAGTGACACACTGTGAGAAAGAACAGGATGTGGCTGGAGAAGGGGCCATACAGAGGTAGGGCAGCACTTTTCTAGGACAAAGGTCCCTGTTCTGGCTCCTGGAGATAAGCACAACACAGCAGAGTGCAGGCACAGGCATGAGGCTGAGAAGCAGGGACGGACTGTAGGGGGGGAACCAAGATCACCCAAAACTCACGAGGCCCTCTGAGCCATTTCCAGAAAGGTCCAGAAGAATGGACTGTGCATGGTAACTGATTTGCA